ATGTTGAGTGTGTTACTGTCAGGCATGTTTACACGCGTGATCTCAAGCCTCACGAAAGCCCGCCCAGCTGAGGTAAGTGAGGCTTAGAGGCTGACTGGTCCCAGGTGACTCTGCTAGGAATGGCAGAGCTGGAATTCAAGCTCAGATCCGCCTGACTCAAGCTGAGACTCTTCCTACCTCTCTCCCCACAAGGGCTCTGGCAGTGATTCCCACAGATGTGGAGACTGGGCTATGGGTGGGTGTGTCAGTACCCTTGCAGGCAGCACTATGACTATGAGAGGGGGCCAGTCTGGCCTCAAGTTGTCCAGCTCCTCCTCCTGAGTGGCTGGTGTAGACCTCACCTTGCACTACGCAGCAGGACAACCCTAGCCCACCCTGCGGCTAGGGTCCTGGCAGTGTACTGCGCCACCTGGCTGGTGTGCTGTGGAGACCATCAATCCCACTCCTTGGAGGGCCACTCCACAGTAAGCACTGTGGCCCCATGGGGCTGCCTGTGCTTTGTATTCCTTTTTGTCACCGGGTCTCTCAGGGTGGCAGAAGGAACACTAGCCAAGGTACTTGCCCTAGGTCTTCCTCCTGGTGCTGCTGCATTCCCCAAGGGGCCTTCCGATGCTGAGTGATTAATTCCTCAGTTTCTCATCCATGCACTGGGGAGAGTGGGCCCTGACACTCCCATAGGCTTTGGGGAGAAAAAGGGCAGTGTGCACACAAGAGTTCAGCTCTCCTCTCTGGCCACCTACTCCCAGTGCAGGAGTGAGAAGAGGACTCCCTTCCCCAGATTGCAGGGGAAAGAGGGGTCAAGGCTCCAGGCTAGGTAGCTGTCTGTCCTTCCCTCTCACTCTGGATAAACTGAGCTAAAGGTCAAAGAAACAGGGTGCTGGGAAGAAAGTGATGGCTAACCCCTTGATACACTTTCAGAGGAGACACCCCAGGGGTGGGGCTAAGGGAGACACTTCTGTGGGTTCCTCTCTTCGCCCTGATTCTCCAGTGCTACTTGGGTGGTCCTAGCAGCCTGAATCGCCTGGCCAGAGTCTGTAAAGTTCCATGGCATTCTTCTCCCTGCCATCTCACATTCTTTAGACAGAGAGGATACAGCTCTAAACCCAGAGTCGTTTTTGGAGGGTGTGAATTCACCCCCTGGACAGTCCCATGACCACTGTCCAAATGCAGACTGATGGCAGAGGCTGGTGTCCCCGGAAAGGCTCTTGGACCCGGGAAGCAGAGGGCTCAGTGGCCTCCCAGGGCAGGAGAGGCCCAGGCCTTCCTGCCCTTGGTTCTGGCCACCAGCGCCGCAGTAACAGGTTTGGCCAGCTGCGGCCCGGGGCCGCGCAGTTAGCGGCTCTCTCGCTGGCCTGGATCCGGCAGGCGCCGCGGCGGCAGGCGCTTGTCACAGCGGCCCGCCCACACGCTTCCTGCGCAGGCGGCTGATGGCAGCTCCGACGGCCCACCACTTCCTCCTGCCGCCAGGCGCGCGGCGCGCTTCTCCCCAGCTTCCCGGGAAGGGCCGAGCGCGCATCGCCAGTCCCGCCAGCCCCGGAGGCCCCGGCTGCCGGCGCTGGGGCTGGGGCGTCCCACAGACCACACGTGCCCGCCGGCGAAGCTGACCGCTCAGGGCTCTCTCAGCGTGGAACTGGATCCCGGGACCTGATAAACCCTCCGGGTAAATCAGCTTTCTTAGGTGTTTAGAAAAAAACAACCAACCTCAAAGAATTGCCGGTAGGGATAAATCAGATTATGAAGGTAGTGGCTCAGCCAAGCGGCTACTCTGTAAGCTCCCTCCTGACTTCCTCCTTTCCTTCCCTTACAGATACCAGAATTGGCGTCCAGAGCAAAACGTCAGGGGGGTCAGAGGCCAGGGCCCTGCCTGAGCAGTGAAGGCACGTCCACACTCCTGGGGGCCACATGAGAATAGGGACTGTCCCTGTGCTGAAGGAGTATGACATCACCACTCCAATGAGGGAGAGTGACAGCACAGAAATTATCCAAACGACAATGTCACACATACATACTTCTGCCAGCGCCAAGCTGGTTGAGAAAACAATTTCGTTGGCAGTGCTGGCTACAGGGTATTGTCTAATTTTTGATCCTGTTTTCCTACACTGTCCTCTGACACTGCCCCCACCCCCAGCTTTAAGGCTAACATAGCTTAGCTCAACCCAGGCTGGAGGAAGCTTTTCTAATACAGAGGCACTTGAGTACTGAGCCAGCTGGAAAAGGCACCTTCAGTCTGTGTTCCACTCTGGTAAATAAACATCAAAGCCATTTCCCTACTGACACCCAGACACAGCAGGCATATCTACAAACAGATTCCAGCAATGCAAATTTGACAGGGGTCTCCTAAGGGAGTTCTTTCCAAAGACAAAGTGGGGAGGAGAGAGGGTAGTTGTAGACTAGGTCCCTCTAAGGAGACTGTGTGGGTAGAATTATGTATAAGTAAAGATTTCAATAATCAGAATGCATCACTATGGAAACATCGACTTTATCAAAAGCACCCCTAAGAAAAATAATCAAGACTTCTGATTCAACACCACAAGTGTTCATGACCAGAAAAGGCAAAGTGGGTCTTAGATAATCTGCAGCCAAGTAAAAGTTGCCAGAACTCAAGGAAGAAATATTCCTTTCTTGGTGCAGGGCAGGAAACCATCATTTGTCGGGGCTTTCTCTGAAACCCTCCAACTGGAGCAATCAGCTGGCTGCAGCAGCTACTTAACTATTTCGGGGTTTTAATAATACAATTCAGTCACTAACTGGGTCCAGACACACCTGCCATGCACTAGGACAGGATCATACCAGCCACAGAGGCAGCCCAGAGTAGATGTCACAGGGAAATGGCACGTTTATTAGCTGTGACCCAAACTTATTAGGAAGCATCAATGCCACTTGAGCTGATGGTTTAGTTAATGACAGACCAGTGAGGATCCTAATTTCAATACTAGGGACACAATTGGACACTAAGTGTCTCAGTGTTCCAAGTGTTTGGAGGCAAGCTGCCTGTTATAAAAAGACATTTTTAGTGTGGAACCTGATCTGGTTTTCTGCCTGTCTGCTGACTGGAGTAGTGAGATTGGTAAATGCTGTGAAGAATCCTCACACTGAGCTTGGGTGTCATTCCGAGTATATACTCACAGGTAAGGATGTGGGCAGAAGAGAGCACAGGGAACAATCATCTACCTCTGAAAGTTTGAAGGTGTATCTACTCAGATATGGTCAGCATATTGCCAGGAAGTCACTTGCCAGGAGCGTTGGCTGAGAATTTGTCTTAACTCACAAGAAATTGGATTTTGTCCCCCCAAATGAGCTTCCTCAGTTAAATGGCCAATTGCCAGTCTAGTTGGCTGCAGTTTCTGCCCAGGAGATGCTAATGTTGATTAAGGGGAGATGAGATGCGGATGCCTGCCCTGACACACAGGAAAGCCAGAAAACAAAACAGGTGGCCTGTGGTCAGCTGTGACCAGCTCTGCAGGAGCAAGCCCTGAGTGAGGCTCAGCTCCCAGGGACACCGGCAGACTATTACACCAAAATTCAACATGGCAGAGGAAAAAGCACAGTGGTTCAGGGATTAGCCTATGGTTTGAATTCTAGCTTTGCCATTGCAAATCTAATTAAACTATTTAACCCCTGGAAGACTCAGTTTCCTAGTGTCTATGATGGGAAAAGTATCTCTTTTTTGCAGAGCTGGGGTGGGGAGAGGAATTAGAGATCGTGTATTTAAGCTCTAAGGACCGTGCCTAAAAGGCTTCTGAAGCTCAAAACAAGGGCAGCTAAAAAACTATGCCTGTTTTTCTTCATGCTATTACTGTTATATTTGCTTCCTCTGCTTTACATGTAATATAAGCAAAAGTACTTTCTCCCCAATTCCTAGTCCAGATCTATCACCAGTAAAAGACAGCAACAGGTTGGTGCAGTCTCTGAATATGGTTGTCTTCTGCCACGGTCTGGAATTCCCATCGATTAACCCTTGTAGTTTGACTTTACAGCAAGTACCTACTCTCTGTTTCAGAAGGGATTGTTACCTTAGTAGTGGAAAAAAATGGCAGTTCTGGCGTATGGTATTTACAGTGACAGCAAGAAATAAAACCTAAGATTTGCTGTTCTCAGACCAGGAAACCCAGGTGGTAGCCCACCCTGTCTGCTGTATAGTAGGAATTTGTTTCCCTGACAGATCTGGGTGTGATGAGCAATGAGACCAAATGTACAGCTGACACGGGGAGATCATGACATCATGACCCTACATGAGGAGGGAGGGGTGCTCGAAGACTTGAAACCATCCACCAGTTCTTTCATTTGTAAGGAGTGGAAATTTCACAAGTCTCACACATTAAACTTAGAACCAAGCCCGGCTATATCACCTGGCCAGGTGTTGTTTCCTCTAGTAGAAGTACAGCTGGAATTTAAAAGAGGCTTTATTTTCCTTTTGCAGAGATTTGGAGAGCTTAGTATGACGCCCCAATTTTACAAAGCTTTTAGTATTTCTTAGAAAAAGGAGTATGTTTAAAAAAGATAGGGACTACAATGCTAGGACCCACTCAGAGAGCTTGTCAGAGAACAAAGCATGGCCAGGAGTGGCATTACACCTGAGCTGAGTCAGCCTGCCTGGCCTTTGGCACTTTACTTTACTATGAGACGGGGATGCTTAGTCTTACAGCACAGGATGGAAAGAGGACAGAGAACGAGAAGGTGCTGTAAGTTTCCCCCACAGGCAGATGGAGAAACTGTAGCTCTCCTGACCTATTTTCCATCCATTTAAATTCATTTTCTTTCTCTCAGGTTTTTTGTATCTTGTTTGGAATGAATCTGGCATACTGTTTCTGAGTTGAAAGGTCATGAAGACATGTGCTTTTATGATGCAATAAGGGGCAGCCACTCTGTTTTGTTTTGGGAACCTTGGTGACATCACAGCTAACCCTTGCACCTCAGGAACCTGTATGTAAGAGAACACTGAGTCAGAAGAGAGCCTTAGTCATGAGGCTGCTGAGACTGAGGGTGAAGAGAACTATTAGGCAAGTGAGTGCGTTCCCCACAGCACTGCCCCCACTTCTATGTGGCTGGGGTTTGAATGACTCAAGTAATTCCCTCGGGGGAACGAATCTATGTGGAACAGCTGTCATTAGCAGGACATGAGCTGCCCTTCTGCCTTATTTCAGCCTGCTACATCACCCACTTATTCCTCCCTCAAAGGGTACAGTTGGCACTCATATTACAAGTAGTCCAGGTGATTGCCTGCAGGTGGCTGGACTATAACGTCCTGCCTTCACTCTTTATTCAGAGGCCAGTAACCTGTAACACAGGAGGACTGATAGGCCAGAAGACTCGGTTAAATGCAGTGTTGCCTGAAAAATGCAGCTTTCTAGCACAACAGCACATGAGTCAGGATGAAAGTACCTTTGTTTGGGTTTTAGCAGCTGTCTGCCCAGGGAAGGCTCCAGAGTCACTGATGCATATTTATATCTCCACTAAAGTCACATGGAACAAACACGTGTATATTTTCCCCAGCAGCACAAGTCCATTCATATTCTTCAAGTGAAGTGAGGGAGGGCAAGAGAAAACATGCTTATGGACAAAAATCATCCATCAGCACAACCACATGGATTTTAATTGGCCTAAAGATAATACGCAATTTGGGGATGTGATTAGTGACAGACATACCACCACCATGAACTGCTGGCTCTCATTTAATAGGAGCTGGGAAACAAACCCCACCATCTTCCACGCAGCCACACCACGAGATCAGCGGACCAGCCTCTTGAAGTTTCTTCTCAGTGGAAGGTTTGCTCAGCCTCAGTCTCTCTCAAAGATCTCACATCACCGGGGTGCCCCTCTAGGGTCTGGATAAACTGTCCGAAAGGTCAGGTTTACTCTCGGTTCTCTAGAGTGGTATTCTTTGGGCACTCGATGCTAAATGGAAATACACATAACTCTCTGACATAAATACACAGGCACACATTGTAGTTCAAAACAACTTAATGTATGGGAATACAGAAGTATTTCCATTTTATTCCCCTTTAAATGAGCAGTGCTAAGTTCTTTACAGTCTTGTGGTCCAAGGTCTCCTACTCTGAAACGAATTCCCATCCCCACCTCCACTGTGGTAGGCCAGCATCCCTGCAGTGAGATATTTTCATCATTTCGAATTGTTGCTCTTCCTCTCACACTCCTGCCATTTTTTTCAAATATCATTAAGAAAATTATAAATGGATGAGACCAAAGAGAGCCATGTGATTCCACTCTCATGCTAAGTATCTCTACATTAATGTGCACACAACAGAAATGATCTGGCCTAAAAATGGCTGGGCCTAGCTATGGAGTTTTCAGTCCAGTGAGACAGCCATTGGCTACGTGAAGCCATTTAAATTTAAACTAGTTAAAATTAAATTAGAAATTCTGTTCTTTATAGCACACTAGCCACATTTTTAAGAGGTCAACAGTCCCTCATGGCTAGTGGCTACCACACAGGGCAGCACAGAGGTGGAATACTTCCGTCGTCATAGAAAATTCCCTTGGATAGTGCAACTGCAGAAGCACCTTTTGATTGTCAGTAGTTTCCAAATTCCTTGGAAATAATGTCACCCGATTGCTACTTGCTCATTCTAACAGCACCCTACAGTACTTTTCAGATGTTTACTTGCAAATTACTAATCTTCAGCCAGTCAGGAGATGGCCACCATGTGCAAATCCCTATTACTCGCTCATGCTCACCTGCCAGTCTGCTTGTGTAGCTCCTTCCATGATTAACAAGGTCCCGTGATCCAAGGGTATCTTCACTCTTTCCACATATGTATAGTCGCCATTCTCTTCCTAGAAAACAGCATTCACTGCACTGCATTTTCTGCTTGTGTGATCAAGATGCAACAAAACCTTTTGACAGTGGTCAAAAAAAAAATGGAAAGCTCTACTTCTCAGCCAGACTGTGGGAATTCATCTACTGGCGCTGTCATTTGCCAGCTGCTTGGCCTTGGACAAGTTATCTTACATCTCTGTACCTCGATTTACTTATCTGTAAAATGGGGATGATGTCAGTATCTGCCACCCAGGGCTATTGTGGGGCTATGTAGTGTGTGTAAATCACCCGGTATATATCATAAGGGCTAGCTCTTACCATCATCATCTAAAATCCAGAAAAGTCCTTTGGACTATGAAGGAATTAAAAGTCACATATGCAAGAATTCTTTATGTCTGCCTTACGCTGTGCTCTGCATTTCAACAGTCAGGATAGGAAATACGGCCTTTTAACCAAGATTTGATGTGATGAGTTCTGCTCTTTCTTTTCCTACTTTATGCTAATTGAATATATAATTGGTCTCCATGCTAAAACTAGGCACAACTCTTTCTATGGCTACTCTGGTGTTTTTGGAGATGTCCTCCTGCCTCTTTTTAGAACAGGCAAAGCAGGATTTTGTCTAAGAAAGAAGCTGTAACTTGACCAGAACAGAAACCAAACTGAAACTGGCTATTTAAGCCTTTAAGAGATGCATCACAATTCCTGAACAAATGCCTTGTATTTACATTGCCACTTTCTTCCCAAAAGCTCAAAATCAATTTAGATCCAATATTATCATGCATCCTCACAGGATAGCCTGAGAAGTATATCAAGTCCTGCAGTCTGCCTAAAGGAAATGTTCCTCTTTCTCAGCTGACAAAGGGGTGCATTAAACAATTTCCTTGCTCACAGCAACAAAAAGCATGTCGCAGTTGAGACTAGGACACACCTGAGTTTCCTCATTTCTTCACCTTCATTCAGGTCAGAACTGATGGGCCCCTCTATTCATCTGCTCCATTTCCGATGCAAGGATTACATTTGGGTTACTTACTGCAGGACTGGTTTTGGTGTAATACAATGTTTATGTTTATTACTATAGAGGTGCTTCTGAGAACTTAACTGTTTATAATAATTTCCCCCCAGGAAAATCAAAATCAAAACAATAACGAACTTGCATAAACAGTCTAAGTTCCAAGCCCCAAACCTAGGCAGTGAGTTTGTTAAGCACAGTCATATTTTTTACCAGCAGAAGATAGAAGCAACATTTAGAATAACATTCAGTTTTAGTGATTGATTTCAATTGTGTCTGCCACCTTTTCTCTTCTGGTAATAAGTTGATACCAAGACATTTACCTATGACCTCTCAGCCAACCAGAGAGCACAGGGAAGGTGACCCTGCCCTCAAGGTGGCCCATCTCTATCGCAGAAAAGCAAAAGGCTACTCTCTGGCAGGGGTAGGGGGATAATAGCCAGAGGAGATATATGTCCCACTAAAGCAAAGATATCAGAAACGAGTGTATTGTCCATGAGATTGGAGTTCAAAGCTCCTTAACTAAGGATGTAAAGTCAGTTACCAGATCAAGGTTTCACATAGCTAGAAGCAGAATTTGTGCTACTCTCTAATTAGGGGTGTCCAACCTTTTTTTTTTCTTTTTGTTTTTTTTGAAACAGAGTCTCATTTTGTCACCCTTGGTAGAGTACTGTGGCATCATAGCTTACAGCAATCTCAAATTCTTGGGCTCAAGTGATCCTCCTGCTTCAGTTTTTCATTTTTAGTAGAGAGAGGGTCTCCTTCTTGCTCAGGCTGGTTTCAAATTCCTTTTTTTGGCCAGGGGCTGGGTTTGAATCCACCACTTCCAGCATATGGGACCGGTGCCCTACCCTTTTGAGCCACAGGCACTGCCCAGTGGTCTCGAATTCTTGATTTCAAACAATCCATCTGCCTCGGCCTCCCAGATTGCTAGGATTACAGGCACGAACCATCTCACCCAGCCCAAACTTTTTTGTTTTTATGCCACAGACTAGAAGAATAAGAGTTGTCTTGAGCCACAGCTTAAATTCCCCAACACTAACGAAAGCTGATCAGCCAAAAAAAGAAAGGACCATGCATACTTTTTGTGATATCCAATACCCACAAATAAGTAAAAAAAAAAAAAGTACTCACAAAATCAGCATGTGCCCGCAGGCCACAGGTTGAACACCCCTGCCTTCTTGGACACCCCCGTGTCTGTCTACATAATTGGGGAGTACAATAAGGCCTCAGTCTATAAATCAAGTACAGACACTAAGACAAGAGAGTGAAATGAAGCAGAGAAGAAAGACTTAACCACAACATGAGGACAGTTCTGAGATGACATCTCTCAGAACATTAAAAACATAACTGGTAAGGGGGGGGTGGCTAAGCACAATGTAATTCAACCTGAAAACATGAAGCAGGAATGTGCCTTGCAAGTGAAAGACAATTCCTAGTGCAAGAGAAAAGTACCAGCAATGATGGAAAGTGATGTTCAACGAATCCATATTTCTCTTAATGTTCCTATAATCTGAATTTTTTAAATCAGAGAAGGCTTCAGGTTAGTTCTGAATGCATGACGCCTCACATAACAATGAGTCATACCAAAAAGTAGAAGAGACTGGGGCTTCACTTAGGAGGGAGCCACCTGAATCAATCTCCCAAGAGACAGTGATACACAGTCTACCCACTATGAGAGGCGATGTCATTACTTTGCTGCTTGTCTATTCCGTCCAACATCCATGGCTTAGAAAGTGCATTCCTGATTTGTAAAGGAGATGGACAGGAAAGAGGGGAAGGAATTCTACCAACAAAATAGACCTCACAAATGCATTGTTCTCTTGAGCCCCGGGGGGCTACAGACCATAGTGCCACCCTTTAACTTAACCAAGATGCAGGGAGACTTTTTCTACTTAGGAAGCAGATAAAAGGTCAGAGGAGTTCAGATGGCTATGCATAAAGGCGCAAGTTGCTAAAAGGATAAGCAACAGTGGAAGCACTGGTCAGACTGTTTAGAGGAATGTCTTCACGGTCATTAAGCACGGTTAAGTTACCAAAACATGTCTCTGTGGCCCTTTTGATTTATTCAGGACTTTCTTCAAAACAAAACAAAACATACCTCCAAAAAACCATGGCTTAGGATAAAAATTTCCATTCCTGATCCTGGATAAAAGAAGCTTTTAGGGTTATAATCATTCTACAAGGTTGGTTTTGTTGTTGGTTTTCTAAATGTGAAACCTTACAAGTACATGGAAAAAGAAAAAGGTATATATATTTTTACATTAATGCTGATCGATCTTCTCTTTTCTGCTTTTAAGTCTTCTCACAACTCTTACCTCCACCTCACCAAGATATTATCGTACTTAGTTTCCTTTAGAAAAATGCTATTTAGGAAACAAATCTGGGTGTATTATATGTCATTGCTAACCATCCAACAGACAGGAAACTCAAATATTTTTCTTTTCATAGGAAGAGTAATGCAAATTGTATGAGATTTGGATTTTTCTTATAATCACCCCTTTCTAGTCCTCAAGGGTTATTTTGGAAATTACAATCACTGATGTTTTAAATCATCAGTGCTATAGTTTGTCTTTCTAGAATATAAAGCTAATATAAACTCACTAATAAATGATGCATTAAATGATGCATTTGGAGTTACTTGTTCAACAGCTGCCTCTGTGGCCTTGCTCTTAGGAAACCTACTCAGCGCCTATCACACACAAGAAGTATGTGCTGAATGACTGAGGAAAACTACCAAGAAAATGTAAAAAAAAAAAAAGTCACTTTTAATCCAGAATTCACAAAAGATACATACATAGAATATTCCATATTTTATATTGTAGAGTACAACTGTGTACTCTCATTGTTAACCTTGTATTTTGAGCATTTTTCTACATATGGTTATATAGCATTCCTTCATATAAACATATTCTTCCTTCTTCAAACTCATAAATACTTTTGACCACCTATATATGTCAGGCATGGTGCTAGGGCTAAGGATATACCAGTAAGGAATACATTGCTGGAAACTAAAATTTTAATATACTAGCATTGGGGGGGGGTTGTTTTTGTTTTTGAGACACAGTGTCACTTTGTTACCCTTGGTAAAGTGCCGCAGCGTCATAGCTTACAGCAACCTCAAACTCTTGGGCTCAAGTGATCCTCCTGCCTCAGCCTCTTGAGTACCTGGGATTACTGGCACCTACCACAAGGCCCTGCTATTTGTCTGTAGAGACCTGTTCGTGCTCTTGCTCAGGCTGGTCTCGAACCAGTGAGCTCAGGCAATCCACTCTCCTTAGCCTCACAGAGTGCTAGAATTATAGCTGTGAGCCACCGTGCCTGGGCACTAGGGTTAGTTTTTAAAAAACAAAAGAAAATAAAGAAAAAGCTACTGCAAGTAGATTCTGGGGCAAAACATTTCTGAAAATATATTCTAAAAATATTTCTAAAAAAATACTGGTATGTGTATATATATATACATATTATATGTATATATACACATATGTACACATATTATGATATATATGTATACATATAAGGTATGCACATATAATACGTATATATACACATCTATAATTTTCTTTTTAGGCAGGATCTCACTCTGTGACCCTGGCTACAGTGCAATCAATGGTCTCATCATAGCTCACTGTAACCTCAAACTCCTGGGCTCAAGCAATCCTCCTGCCTTCCCAGCTGTGGGACTACAGGCAGGTGCCACACCACACCCAGATAATTTTTCTATTTTTTATAAAGGTGGGATCTCATTCTTGCTCAGGCTGGTCTCGAACTCCAGGCCCCAAGCAATTCTCCTATTTCAGCCTCCCAAATACATGCCACTGTGCCCAGCCTCTAGAATACATTCCTAAAAAATGAAATGACTGGAGCCAAGAGTAAAAACTCCAAGGCACTTGATTTACACTGCCAAATTGCCTTCTTGGGAAGCCTGCAGCAATTTATAATTTCATCAGGAAATAATGACAGTACTTACCTTCTGGCTGATAAAGATGAAAAGAGTTAGGGGAGAAG